TCTTTCCCTGTCAAACAACTTCTTACACATTGCATTTTGCATCACTGAAAAGATGATCAAAACATGAAGTAATGAAATCTGAATTGTAAGAAAATTTCAACGCAAAGATTATACTGGACTATTTGGTTGGGGAATGAGCAAAAAAATAGGCCATTGATTATGACATAAAAGAATTGATTGCAGATTTAAAAGTAGTCCCACTTTTCCCTGTCAAACAACTTCTTACACATTGCATTTTGCATCACTGAAAAGATGATCAAAACATGAAGTAATGAAATCTGAATTGTAAGAAAATTTCAACGCAAAGATTATACTGGACTATTTGGTTGGGGAATGAGCAAAAAAATAGGCCATTGATTATGACATAAAAGAATTGATTGCAGATTTAAAAGTAGTCCCACTGCTACCTTTGCAGTAAATGAATGGAGGACATAATTTAAAAGCAGAGGTAACTTCTGTTTATGTTAGTTTTCTTCTCTCATTTTCATTGTAACACATGCTATATAGCCATTGAAAAAGAAGTTAGCTCCTTCCCTTATCCAAGTTCTTCCTGAAAACTCTGTCAACTGATACTTACCGCCAGCTGATCAGAGGAGGCAGTTTTACATTGCTAATACAAACAAAATACAAAACTCTAAAAAAGCAGTCCAATTTTATAGTAGTCTTAAAGCTCACTACTCTTAACCTGTTCTTACAATTACCACTTGTCACTCACTTTTCCCCTTCACACCATGCAAGTTTTGTAAGCAGAAAATATCTTCCTATATGTTTCTACAATGGCTAACATTTTTGGTACTATCTCAATATTACCATTTGATTCTGAACTTTCCTAGAGTGTCTTAAAAGGGTCCATCCTTACCCACCACTTGTCGACATTTTGGAATCACTACCCATAGAAGAGGGGTCTTCTCTTTAATTGCTGCTCCGTTTCACACAGAAGACTATAGATACAGGTTATAACAAAAACCCCTCCACCGGAACACATATCCGAGCGTTTTTGATGTTCTATTAGCTAGAAGTGTTTCTTTTTAACATTGATTCAAGGTTTGGAAGCTGACTTAACTCTTACCCTTTACTTACAGGCCTATCACGTCATACCATAGACTTGGTATCTTACACCAGGTTCTGAGAACACAAGGCTTCTGAAAGCGATCATATGAATAACTCTAATCTTAACAATTAACGCATCTGAATAGATAATTTTTGTATTCATTCTATGAAATTCTGTTGTATTCTTATGAGCCCATATGTATTTCCACAAAAATAATAAAATCAGGAATGTCATAGAACTTTTTTGCAGTCCATGAATGCCAGAATTTACATGTTTACATTATTTCCTTGAAAGCGTTTGATGACTTCTGTCTCCTATGAAGCTGCCAAGAGGTTAAAAGGTACCCAATAAACGCCCCCCTAATTCATTGTTACAGAATTAAAAACTGAGAATGCAGAAAAAATAGATTAAATACAGATTCCAAATGTAAGCATCAGACAGCACAGTTCATTAAAATGCTTACCATCTTCTGTGGTACTGATGCATAGTTTGGGTATCCAAGGACATCTTTTATGAAGTTGTTATCACAATTTTTTCCAATCCAAATGTAAAAGATCTGCAAGACGTCAGAATCAGTTTTAGTAAAGGCCTTGTATACACTTTAGAGAAAGAGACAAGTGGTGATGTAATTGGAATAATACCAGAATAATACCTGTCATGCAAATGAATCACTTGAGAGCTCCAGTTTCAATTCATATATACATCTCTATATTTGTTATTTGTACATTACTCATTTATACATTGGTAGCATTTCGAGTAAGATCATTAAGTGTCAATAAAAAAGGTAGGACACAAATACTGAACAAATGAGGGTGCAGGACACATCTATCTTGGAACAGTTAATGCAGTAGCTTCCCATGTTACCTCCTAAAATGAAAAACCCAGATTTTAAAAAGTCACACCACTGGGTCAGTTACTGCACACTGACTTCCCAATCTAAACAAGTCATAGTAAAGCATCAATTACTAAAACACATTATAGTAATTATTATTTCAGATCTGGAGGCAGAAGCTAGTTTGACATTAACGCTCAGCCTCTGAACTCATAGAAGGTTTAAAGCACTTTCTAGACTGCCATTAGAGTAGCATAATGTTTTATCACATTATTTAAGTAGCATAATGCTTTGTCCAATTAAGAGTGTTTTAGTGTAATTCCTACAAATACTTTAAACTCAGAATCACAGAATCATTAAGGTTGGAAAAGACCTTGAAGATCATCAAGTCCAACCATCAACCCAACACCACTAAACCATGTCCTGAAGTGCCACATCCACACGTTTTTTGAACACTTCCAGTGATGGCGACTCCACCACCTCCCTGGGCAGCCTGTTCCAGTGCTTGACCACTCTCTCAGTAAAGAAATTCATATAAAGTAAAGTAACTGTATCTACAGATTTTTTTCACTCCCTGCAATTCCCTCACCCTTGCAACTCTTGCATCACACAAGCCACAAATCATAAAACCAGTTATAATTGTGCATAACTGAGAAAGTTCCTGCATCAATGAGGAGCCACTTGTTAGACAGACCGTAGTACATACAAATTAATGACCATTAAGAGACATTTTGGAGAATGGAAATCCATTATTTCCAGAAAAAAACCCCAACTTGATGTGAACTTCTGGTACATTCTGATCAGTCTATCATGAGAAAAATTAAGCCTTAACATGCAACCTCAAATACTCCACTGGTCAAAATCTGAAAGCCTTTCACTGGAACACAGATTACTGCCAGGTTACCTGGAATGCTGATTCACTACACTGTTATTGTTGAGAGTTGACTGTTTTTAATAATTCAGCATGCATTGCCCTTTTTTTTTTTTAAAGTGTAATTTACAAAAAAAGGAACATGTGAAACTAGCAACTTACTGAACCACAATCCATAAGAAAAGCTCCTTCTCTCGTCAACTTCTCTGCAGACAACTTCTGAAGAGGTGGCTGAGGAACAACTCTGTCATTTACATGTATTGTACTCTGTAACAAAAAACAATACTCAATAAATATCAATATATCCTATTTTTTACTTTTTCATCTATTTTTTTAATCTTAGCCAGGTAAAATAAAATGGGAAAACACACTGTTAATCTCTAGCAAAATCTTGAGGATTCTCATTTAACAAAATGCCACATAAGCCTAAAATGATTATGTACAAACAATTCTAGACTGTTACTTAACCTAAAGGCTATTTTATTACCTAAAAAAGAATAATGCAAGTTCATTTAAGTTATGTATGTAACATCCCTCATGCTATAGATGCCAAACTTCCAAAGGAATTCTAGTGTTTACGCTTAAATTTTCTACAAACCACCTCCATAGATTTTTTTCATTGCATTCAACTTGCACTGGAAATGTTGCAAGAGCAGAAAAACATCAAATTCTACTCTCTAACGGTTCACTATTTTACTGCATTCAAGTAACAGAACGTTCCTTGATTTAACATCCTGCCTGAAGCGATACATGTTTTTTTCCCCCCAGCACTATGACTGTTCTGATTAACAATCATTGCTGTTAGCAATGATAATATTAAAAATAAACCCCCATTCCTCCTCAGCAATAAAACCAAACAAAAACAATAAAAACCCCCGCCCCCAGTATTTTCTGATTAAAGCTGCTTTCCCCTCCAATATAAAAATAGGCTGAATATTTATTAAGAATCCATGAAGCATTCTGCAAATAATGTAGAGAAAAAATAGTCTAGCGACTAAGCATATCTCCACATGGTAAAGATTATTAAAAAAAAAAAAAATCACTATTTAAAAAAATTCATATTATAATGCAATAGATTTGAGGTTTTTGGGATTTATGCATAATGATGAAAATCAAGCTTCTGAACACCACTTGGGAAAGTTCCAGGCTCTATTCAATGCTCTAAAGGATCAAGTGTTAAGAGAAATGAAAACCAGCAAAAACATTTTAAAATATTTCTGTAATATATATCATAGAATTTTCTAAAGAAAGAAGAAATTTGAAACTACAGAAAACTGAAGTAGTACTAAATAGCAGATTAGCACTGTTATATGATTTAAAATGTGCTTTGTCAATTTCAGTAGGCCAAATAAGCCCTATTTTCTGTATTATTCTACTAGAAATAACTGATCTGAAATCCTTTGCTAATAAAACTGGATTTCCCAAAGACACTGCTGGTTCTTTACAGCACTTGCACACTGATCAGCATAAATTCCACAAAAAACTTAACATGGCTACTTGAAAAAGTTGGCTTCTCAAATACTGGGGGGGTGTGTGTGTGTATTAAAAAGACTGATTAATCAATTCCACTTAAGAACACTGAGTTTAGACTTGCATATGTGAGTTTACAGAATACCTTAAAAGAAACTTTGAAACTATAAATACCTCACAGGTTGTGCTGAACAATAACCAACTGCCAGAGAAACAACTCAAGTTACCATATAATCTTGTATGACACTTAAACCCAAACTCCTACAGACACTCTTCCAAAGCTAGTGACTAACAAGGTCATGAAAACTTACTTGAAAAAAAGCAACTTATTTTTGCAATTACAACTAACTTTGACCTTAAATAAAATCCCATCTTACTTCTTACTATTAAAAAAAAGCATCCATTTCCTAGGCTACCTCTGTAGGAAAAACTGGTTTCACACATTAAGTACTTCCTCAGTCTGATCATGACCATCTAGAAGTACAGTTCTGTTTCATCCACAGCAGTCTGAGAAGCCACTGGAAGTTTGTTACTGTAGGCAACTTCATCTGGTTTCAGTATACAAAACCTAGAATCCTCCACCAAATCTACCTCATCCATTTTCCCAGAGTGTTCCAAAACACAAAACCACACGGGTGATGTTTCCAATGCATACAATCTTCTCTGCTTTCTTTGTATAATAGTAAAATATGGAATTACTGTGGTCACTGAAACTAAGTGAAGTAAAACCACAGTTCTACTCATAACACACTACTGTACTTGCAATTCAAAACTTGAAAATAATGTTTTTTCTTGAATTTTTTAATAACTTACAGAAAATGCTCAGTTTACATTACAATAACAATTTTAATTAAGTTATTGTGACACAACATCAGGTTTAACAAACCATTAAAACTAAACAATGTTATAAAACAGGCTTCACATATTACCTCATCAATCAACTTATCTATTCTGTACAAGTTGGGATGTATCATTTTCATCAAATGAACGAGAGGCTGGCTCTTCATCTGGCACATTGCATATACACGATCATCCAAGCGTGTACTCATGCCTGTTCTAAATGCTTTCTGTAAGAGAACAGTGTTGTTACTCAAATAAACCCTGTATTTTATGTCACGTCTAAACAGTGTATTTCAGATTTTTTGAAGCGTCAGATGGCAAAGCTTTTGTAAAGAAATGTATCTTACTGAGATACATTAGAAACTTAATTAAATACAACTTGAACACAATACCTTTTAAAACTTCATCTATTCTCCCTCTTTATTAATGAAGAAAAAAAAATCTTCCCGTCACTTTATGTAAAATTTGTATGTGAATGGGATAGCATTTCTCATTTTTATTCTTAACAAATGTTACTGGCCTGTGAAACTCACTGATGCAAGATATCATGGGAAGCTATGAGCCTAGTGGAGTTCAAAAAAGATACTTCTGTTGACAAAGTTAACTCTGATTTTATATTAGTAAGAATTAAGTGTTAAAGAAAAGATTTAGAAGGGAAATATACTTTCATGTTTTATAACAGAAACTAAAGCTCTCATAGGATAAATTGTATTTTGTAACTCGTTTTCTTACTGGATTTTTCAGATCTCCTTTAGAAGCAATCGGTAAAAGATGACTGTGAGAAGCAACACAATGGAGTAAGCACCATATTCTGATTCAATGGAGAACATTCCTACAAAGTTCATATTCACCTCTACCACAAAGCCAAGTACATCAGTGTCGTGGTTTAGCCCCAGATGGCAACTAAGCACCACACAGCCTCTTGCTTACTCCCTCCTCCCCCAGTGGGGTGCGGGAGAGAACTGGGGAAAAAACTCTTGGGTTGAGATAAAAACAGTTTAATAGGACAGCAAGAGAGAAGGAAACAACAATGATAACAACAATACCGACAAAGGAATGTACAAGAACAAGTGATGCCCAATATAGCAATTGCTCACCACCTGGTGATCGATAGCCCGTCCCCGAACAGCCCGCCCCGAGGCTGACTCCAGTTTATGTACTGGGCATGACGTTGTATGGCAGGGAATATCCCTTTGGCCAGTGTGGGTCAGCTGTCCTGGCCGCGTCCCCTCCCAGCTCCCCGTGCACACCCAGCCTTCTTGCTAGCAGGCCAGCACGAGAATCTGGACTGCCCTTGACTGCTTAGCAACAACCCAAAACATCAGCACGTTATCAACATTTTCTCATCCCAAATCCAAAGCATAGCCTCACTCTAGCTTCTGTGAAGAGAACCAGCTCTATCCTGGCTGAAGCCAAGACAATCAGTCCTCCTCTTGGCTTCCACAAGCATTTTGTTTTTAGTTTCTCTATACCCCAAGCTTTTTTATTATTGTTAACAAAGGTAATAAAAAAACCCTAAAAAACTCATTTTCTCAGCCACTCTTGTCTTTTACACAGATCCTCTTGTTAATAAATGGTCTCTCACCAGTAACTGCATTACTTATGCAAGTACCAAAGAAGTTCTAATCAGTATATTAGACATTGAAGTAATCACTAAGCCAAAGTAAATAAGTTATTATGATTGGGTTTCTTACCAAACTTACATAAAGGTTTATTCATGATAAGACAAGAAAGACCTGTCAGATATGGAAATCTTTAAGCTATGAGATTTATTGATAATAAAACTCTGCAGTAAGTTTTGGGGTTTTTTGTGGTTTTTTTTTTTTTCTTTTTTTTTGAAGTATGATGTTTGATAATACAAAGCAAGATATTAAAAAAAATAGCAAAAAGCAGTAACTACTTCTGTGTGAACTTTAAACTATATCACTTTAGATTCTGTAATAGATTTTTATTGTACCTCTATGGAAAGCCATTTTCCTTCTTGGCACTTTAAAGTACAAAGTATATGCATTGAAAAATATTTTACTTGCTTTTTCTTCAAAAAATAAAATTAAAGAACTGCTAATGAGCAGCTTCCAGCAATCTTTATGGGCAACATCAATTAGCTGCTAAAATCTGAGAAATGCTAGTTGTTACGATATATGTATTTTTATTTTCATTGTAATACAAAATAAGACAAAATATTTTTTAAAAGATCAAGATCAAGTAAATCAATAAACTGTTCAAACACTAATCATTTAAAATAAGCTAACATAGTCATCTTTTATGTGAAAGTCCTGTAAGCTCAAAGAGGATTACCCAATTTTCATAATTTTAGAAAAGTTGCTTGACCAAGAGCTGAAGAATTCCTCAATTGGAACAATGAATTAAATATCAAACATTAATCCACTAGATCACACATACCTGTTTGAGAAGAGCCAAAATATACAGTGGAAACAGCTTGAGGGAATTTGGTGCTATCAGCATGGACTGCTGCAGGTTTGAGGCCGTTGACATGTATGCTGCCAAGGAGTCTACCACGGCATTAACTAAGGCATCTCTTGCATCCGAAAGACTAGATGAAACTGAGCGATCCACAGCTGTTGGGTTAGAAGGATACAAGAAGTTCGTAGAGTTGGCCTCATTCATTCCCTTGAATTTTGCAAATATTAGTTGTGCTTTTGGGTGATATTTTAAGATTTTTAAAAAAACAAACCACACGTATGGTCCTAACTTTTTTTAGGAGTAAATAAGATGATTGCCCGTACGGAAACTCACTTTCATGAAGCGTGAAAAAATACAGTATGACTGATCTCTGCTCCCTAGTTCCTACTCTTGGAGAATTTAAATATATACATATATAGATATATACTAGAGACTAAATATAAATCCTGTTTTAAGCCATATGCAAATAACTTAGCTATTGATGAAACTCTCTGCTATCCTACCTCCAAGATAAGATTTGCAGCAATTATTTTTGATTTTTTTTTTCCACAAGAAATGTCTTCCATTATTTCAGTGACATAATTATGATTAGTGTAAATGAAGTTTCATCTTTCTCTGCTGAGAAAGGGCTGCAAATCCTTTGGTTGGAGGAAGCCACCTGCTGGATTGAATGCACATTTAAGGCGAGATACAGAAGTACTATTTATTTCTTCTAATTTATGTGACTGTTAATATACAACACAGCATATACTAAAATGCTGCACAGAGCCATACACGTTCAACAGCAGAGATCAGTCTATGAAACAGCTGCTTATGACCCATAAATAGGGGATAAGTAAGATTCCTCAACCCAGCAACAACAGGATAGAAGCACAGAAGACTAATGCATATCTTGGATACATTGTTGTCAGAATCTCCCTTTTATTCTCCAGCAACTCACTAATCTAAACTGAATCACTCTGTTTAAGTAATCATAGAACGCTAAAGTTTGAGATAACCACCATGATGATGGTGATACAAAAATAAGAGTTTTGATACAAGTGTGTTATGGTTCTTTGTCCTTTAATAAACTCTAGAGAACAATGTAAGAAAGCTCCTTTTAAAAGTTTAAAGTCAAGTAAGTATTCAGACTAAGAAATATTTCGGTTAATAGTTTTGGTATAACTTCGATTTTGTTACCTTTTGTATTCTCAGGCTTCAGTGTGCTCCACTCCAACCTTTTTCTACAATACCCAGGCTCCATTCACTACTTCATTTAAATGGCTGACAAAATTAACATCATACAAAAAGCTATTTAAATCTTCCTGGTCTGTACTCACCCATGTTTGCTAAGAGGCATACAACTGCTTGTACATCTGCCCCTGCATATACATCAGCCAGTGAACTTACTACAGGCAAGCAAAGCGTGTGCACTCGAATTCGACGTTCACCTAATAAAAATAAGTAGAAATCATTATGCAGTAGCTCCTGGAAGAGGTATACAAATTCAGCCATTACAGCATATCTCCTCTCATCGAAGATGTACTCATTCTGTAAAAACACAAGAGTCGGGCAATTGCTGTAACACTATCTCCCATTCCTATCTCTTAACCTGTTCAAATTCTGCAACGCTCTAAAGCATTCAATTTATGAATCGGCACAAGTTAGTAACAAGCTAGCTTGTAACATCCACAAGTGTCTTGACCCTACAAAGAAAGTACATTGATTTCCACCCCAAAATTTTGTGGCACCTTCCACAACAGAAAGTAGCTGCTGTTCTTTATGCTCACCCAGTGTACTAGCAACTCACTCCAATCAGTCATGGGTCTATGATTTTGGACAAAGCGCATGCCAAACATGTTACTGCTTATAACAACAGCATGCCTTTTAAGTAAAGGAATCTTGCTGAATCAGCTTTATGTAAGATGGAAACAAATTATATTTTCACATCAAAATAGATTTTATAAAGATTTACATTACGTGATTAACTGCCAAGTAGGTTCGCTAGCTTTGACAAGATTTTCTTAGGGTACACAGAACAACAAGAGGCTATAGAACTAACTATACAAACATTATGTTAGAAAGAGAAACAAAAAACCCGGTGGCCAATTCATTTGAATTTATTTACCTTTGCTGGAAGTATACAAAAGAGCTGTTTGAAAACAAACCAAAGATGTGTCAGTCAGACTTTCCTCAATGGACATTTGTACTGCAAATCCAGCATCAGGATTGACATTGGCAAGGGACAGTAAATCAGTAGATCGTACAAAAAAGTTCCCATGAAAAGTGTGTATTGAAAGACCTAGAAACAGATTAAATAATTCAGAATGAGGCTAAAACAGCATGAAAAGCTTCTATCAATAATTAAAACCCACAGCCCTCAAGCTATGCTTAAGAAAACAATAAAAATACTTCTTCTATCACACAGAATCACATGAATCATTAGACATTTCAGCACAATCTTGTAGAGTTCACATTCAATTCTGAACACTCCAAACTGAATTATGCCCTTATACTACATGTCAACTAAGTTGAAGTGAGATGGTGCCATCTTAAGTAAGTAACAGAAGAAAAAAACAAATGGCAAACGCTAACGTAACTTACATAAAAAGAAGGCAACTATCTTACTCTTCAGTGAGAGAGGAGTAACCTGAAATCTAATGTTGCTAAAGACTAAGCACATTCAAAATGATAGTTAACATGCTTACACCAACTTTTCCGTATGAATCAGTATTTAAAACATACCTTTTGTACACCTAATGCGCATAACTGCTTCAAACCCAATCTTTCTTGTAAGGTATCTTTTCAGGTCTTTTTGTAACTTTTCGGCCTGAGCAGGATTATGACTATGATGGAAAGATGGATAGTAATAGATGCACCCAGCAGAATACTTGGACATGCACGCTGTGAAGGAGGAAAAGATATGGTTAAGAGGTAAAACTGTAACGTGGAGTCAGGACACAAAAGTTGTGTCCAACCTTCTGCAAGTCTCATCTATGTTCATCTTTTTCTTGACAGAACCCACATCTGTGAGACGAGAACTAGCCCAGACTCAGGCCACTGAAGACAGTGATGAGTCACCTCAATACACAATTATCTAATTATATGCTTACATAAATAAGCTTGCTACCTTTGGCAGCTAAAACAGGAGTGCATACAGAAATATTTAATGGCGTAGAGGCAAAATTAAGTGTGTGCGCAGAGACAAATCTTGGTTTAATACTGCAAGATGAGAACTCTGTTCTACCTGTACTATTAAACTTTATACATTCCTGGCCATTTGGCTGTTTCCTGTTGTTGAGCAGGAAAGTACCTTCTTGTTTAAAACTGTGAAAACCCAAAATAGATTGTCTGCTACCACCAATCCAATACTCCTGTTCTTTACTGCTATCAACTTCAAAGTGAATTCCTTTGCAGCATTAGCTACATTTACAAAAGTGCAAGAAGATTTACATGATTTAAGAATTCCTGAGTAGCCTGTGCTTCCAAAGACAGACAACAGTGTGGAAAAAGTGAATGCATACATTAGATACACCTTACCAAGAGAAGCTAAATCAGAATATTGTGAACTTAAGAGAAATAAATCCACAGCAGTCTGCTGGCCTGAGCAGTCCAGTGCCAACTTCTTATAAAAATCTGTTGCTGGACCAAGATGCTGGACCACCTTTGGTGAATAAATTATACAGAAAACAGTTAAGCCAATGACTGTGATCTCTTAAGACTTCATGGAACAAAAGACATAGTCTTCAGTAGCTAAGTATCATAAAGAAATTTCCTTTAAGCAATAATTTATAGGCATTTCCACCTGCAGAAATTATTTTCCTTATGCTCCATATTCTTTTAGTTTGTATATAGAAGCAGTTATGATCCTACTTTCAAGGAAGTTTATGTTCTCATACAAATAAACATTGACATAACTATGTAACACTTACTGGAAGCTGTAAAATACAAGACAATAAAAATAATAAATCATGTTGTAGGTCTACAATTTAATATATCCACACTTTGGTTCAAAACCCAGGTTGATATTAACTGAGTCAGATATTTGCAACTTCTTTTGCTTGCCAAGAGCAGCTATGGACCAAAGGCCCAAAAGACAGCTCATGCACTTTGAAACAACTAATACCACACGTAACATGTATAAACTAGTGATTTTAAATGCACACAGACATTGAATAATTAAAATTTAGTGAATTGCCATAAAAAAAAGTTGATGTGCAGAACTATACAAGTCAGAAAGGCATGGCCAGTCCCTAGTCTTACGAGATGAATATTAAAGGAAGTTTTTGTACCTTTGTGCTTGACCTTTGATTGGGATCTTCTCTGGAATGCAAAAGCCCAGCTCCCAAAGATGGTAACTGAGTTTGAAACACAGATATCCGACCACCCGTTGGAGACATCAGTTTAAATGCAGCCTGAAGAGCAGGGCCCAATGCACTATGTGTTTCTCTTGTATTGGTGAACATATTTGGTAACGCATTCAATAGATCTTTTATCAGCTGCAGAACAGATTGAAAGGTGCTTATGAGATTTTTGTAAGCTTGAGGTTTTCTGCTATTTCTAAAAAGCTGTATTGCTGTAAGTGAAGTGGAACAATCGGTACCAAATATTTCAGCTTCGTTTTCCTTGGTGTGTTGAAACAGACATAATTTTGTAAACTATGGTGCAAACAACCAACCAATGTATAATAATCCTATAATTAAAAAGCAACTTCGGAATTACATATTATGAAGATAGGCTTGAAATCAAAGTTTAAAAGGAAGGTCTATTTTGAATATTTAACTCTTTAAATTTAATTATATAGTTTGAGCAATCATACCTCTTTGCTTTCATGGAGATTTACAAGTAAACTATCTGGTGTAGGTAGGAAAATATCTGTAGAGAGAACAGAAAAAACATTTCATTAAAGAAAAACATAACATTAAAATAGAACAAAACATTTCAATGCCCACTGCTATACGTACCATGAAATACAGTCTACTTTTCTGATGCATGTATTGGAGAGAATAATACAGTCTATAGAAAGCATGTTTTATTCAAACCAAAATTAACATCTGAATTTCACTTTTAAACACCGCCTACTCTGTATTTAGTGTAAGATTATTTTTATAAATATATTGCCTATATATTCAGTAAAATTGACTTAATACCAGAACATGTGCGAGATTCTAATCTTTCTTCTGGAAAACAGGTAGCTTCTCAAAAACTTAAGTTTGCATTTTCTTTTTACTTACCATCAATATCTGAGACAATCAGCATCTGAGGCTGAGATAAACCTTCTTGCAAGTTGTAAAACTGAACAGTGCTGTCAAACGTTATGAACCCTATTCTTGTTCTCGAGTCTCCAGGCAGCCTGAAGCATTAAAAAATAAACTATTAAGCCCTACATTTCTCTCAAGACACATACCTACACACGTGTATCTGCATTCTGCTAACATCCTGCTGATGTTAGCAGGAACTCAGCTCATGTATACAGGGGTGAAGGGAGAACAAAAGAAAGGAGATCTGAAACATGAATACAAGTAATACTCCTTCAGTATCTTCTGAAAAGCTAGGATAATGATACAGTTTACAAGACTAAGTGTTACAGATAAACATTCACTAATATATTGATGTTTTGTTCCAAGTTAGAACTTTGTAGGTTCATTTAAACATTACACTGACACATGAAAGAAGGTAGCCTTCTCAGTTCTTCAACAAAAAATAGTGCATTCTGCTCTTTCATAACTCAGAAAAACCCCATTTACTAATGCAGTTACAGAGCACTTAAGTCTAAATGAAAAGCCAATGTCTCTACAATGCAATATACTTATTTCTCATGTGGACCATATTCCTATGTATGACATTAAAAATACAAAATGAAAAAATAAACGGGATTTCTCAAATAAAAAGTATATCATCAGCAAGTGCTGAAAACCATGACAATGAACAAAAGCAATACAGGCAAGCATTTGTTTTACCATCTGCATATATAAATTAACTGCATGTACTGCTTTTCCTATAGACTTTGCATGGGATTTTATGAGTTTTCCTAAAATAATTTAGTACGTTTCTAAGAATCTGTTGACAAAATACCTGTAAAGAGCTGAACAAAGAAAGACTAAACCAATAAATGTAAGTGAAGAATTTTATTGTCTATGTTCATGTCTTTATCAGATATTACATCAAGTTTCCTAAGAAAAACATGTAGAAATGATTTTGAGAGTGAGGCCTCCACAGGATGCAAAAAATTTTCAAAAGACATAAACATAGTGAAGTTTATCAACCCTCCCTTAAAGCACCACCACCAATCCCATACATGCTGTTCCAGTGCAAAAATGAGGACAGAAGGCAGCATGGGTAGATCTAGGTAACTGTGATCTAAAAACCAAAAACTGACAACACAATTCACCTAGGCAGTCTCACACTAGTGGTTACAACATTTCAGCATGCAGCACCTCAGCCGTTTCAGCACAAGAACCAGCCAATTGAATCTCTGTAATTTAGTTATTTTTGTTGGTCTTGGCAGGGGGTAAGAGCGCACTTTATAGATGCCTGTACAATTAACGTGTTATTAGAAGTTACAGCTGAATATTCTTTGCAGATAAGTATGTAAATTATTTGCAGATTCACCTTTAACCACATGCAGGGAAGATAGCTCCTATCATGTAAATTGCTTCAACAGCTGTTTTTTGGGGAGGCTGGGTTTTTTTGTGCTTGGTTGGTGGTTTTTTTGGTTGTTTTTGTTTGTTTGCTTGGTTTTAGACATGTAAGTTGTATTTCAGAACCTCAGGCAACAGAATGTTTAAAGAGTATATGCAAGTTTTGTGCAAAACTGTAAGTTAGTATTGTTCATAACATGTTAGACAATTTGAAAAGGTTATTTATATTCTTACTTGTCTAGGTTTTCCAGCAATGACTGACAGACTATTGTCAAATATCCAGCCTCCACTGCATTATGAGACACATCTAAAACAAATAAATATACCGCAGGCTGAGGAGGACGAAGCTACAAAGTAAAAAAATAAAAATAAAAAAAGTTCAAAAATCATATTTAAAGAAATGTTAAAAGTGATTAGTCATTATAAAGGGAAGTGGGAAAAGGGAATACTTAAAAAAATGCAAGGTATACATTATGCAATAAAATAAAACTGATTTATTAAGAGTCATGTGGATAGACTTAACCACAATTCCCAGAGGTTAATAATTCCCCCTTGTAATAAGCATACAATGTTATGCTTCAGGATATAAATTGGGTATTTTAGTCTCTCCTTCCAACAGTCAACTCAAACATGACTCTCTGATGCCAGATATGGAATACACTCTTCAAAATACTACTGTTCTTTCAGGATGCGGACAACACGATCCACTAAATGGGGTTACAATATTCTACCAACATCCTTTTCCCAACCATATGACACGCTGCAGTTATTCATTGCCAAACGTCTTGGCCACAGTGTTTCAATTCAAAGACAAGAGAACAATTTATTTTTGTTGCTGTTAATAGCATGATTAATGAACAGGGCCTTTTCCAAGGCCTTGTTTATCTTTCTTTGAGACAAGACTACTATCACAGCAATTGTAGGTTGACTCCTAGTTAGATTCGTTTCTGTCACAATTACTAATTAAAAATTTGAACCCAACTTAATTCTCTCGTTATTCCATTACTGGTCTTTCAAAACCTCTGCAAAATGAGGGAGAAACCCAGAAACCACATTGCATCTGACTCAAACCAGACTACACCACATTAAACTACACTGAACAACTACACACATTGCAATCACTTTTAACTGACAAGCCACTGAATTTCTACATTTGCCAAAACTCAAAATAAATAAGAATTTTAACTATTCTTTGGTGTTAAGAGGACCTTCACAGGAAAATTAACAAACAACACTGCAGCAATATGCAACATTAATTTCAAACGCATTTATATTAACATGCAATTGCTGTTGAAGTTACCATGAAAACTTTTTTTACCATGTAGTCTGAGGAAGCAATGAATTCCACTGTAGAATTTTGGACCTCTGGCCGTTTGTGAGGCTCTCCATATGATCGCGTCAGAGGATTATACATAAATTCTTCAGGAACTATAAAAAAAAATAGTAGTTTTTTTCTCCACAAAAAAGTCTATATATTTTTCAGCAAATAAAAACCATTTTGGCAGGTACTAACCAACTAATGCAGATATATTTCAATTATCACTAACAACAGAAAAAAATTCAAATGAAGGATACATAAAACGAAGGAACATTTCAAGTGCTTTAAGCAACAAATTTAAATAACTGGAAACAAAAGAAGGTTTGTTTTAAACAACAATATATCCCCAACTTCAGAACACTAATGCAAATAGAGCATTTCACAACAACAAGCTTCAATCTGTACTGTTTCTCATAACCTCTAGCCTGGATTGCAGGCAGTATTAGCTGTCATCATGTTGCCATTTGCATATTGCAACAGCAGTCAATGGAGTAAGTTGATTTCATTATAAAAGTAATTGGGATAATATGATTACATTTTCTTCATCTTCCAGAAAATTGCAAAACAACCTTCTACTTCGGAAAATGCACAGCACATCTGACTTACGATCCAGAGATTTTAAAGACATCTTAAGAACACTGTCATTTTAATTTACATTTTAATCTAAAGTATCCCGTAGATTTGCATGATGCAAATACTTGAAAGAGATTCTATAAATGCAAGCATCTCCTGCTACAAAAACTTACCATCATTAACTCTATAGCACAGATTGCATTTCCACCTCCTTTGATCAATGAAAGAAACAAAAGGGTTGATATATGTCCTGCAGGATCTGCATCTCACTATTGTGCTTGATGTTATTACTGGTAATTGCTAAAAAGAAACAATAGAAAGCTGTAACAAAGGTACATAATACATTTTATGGAAAACATTACTGTGCAGTACAGTGTATAAAAGCTTCATAAGACTAGATATTCTAGCACCTTTCCTTTTATCTTTTTAGCTCATTTTCATACAGAGTAATAATGATGCCTATTAAAAATATCTATCCCTTTACAATCAGAAGAAATAATATTTAATTATGGTCTTAATCCAATCTCAAAATCAAAGACTTAATAGGATTTTTAATGAAATTACTTTAAATTACACAGTTACAATAACAACTACTATGGTAAGAGGAATCATGAAAGACAGGAACTACTTTGAGTGACTAAATACGACAGACAGCAGATCTTACTCAAAAAACAAACATTATATGAAAAAAAAGTCATACCAGACAGTTACTCACTTTTTTACATAAATACAAATGAGATGGAGAGAAGTTGCTTAACAGTTATGAACACAGCTTCAATCTTACATCATCCTTACCTTCTATTGACAGCATTTGTCATGCCAGTAATACATTCAGCATGAGCACCTCTTTTCAAGAGGGCACTGTAAATATCTTTTCAAGAGGTATCTGACAGTTCTGAGCCCAACACAGAGTAGTAATCCAGAGCTTCAGAGAACCACAGGCAAGCAAAGATTTCCAACAATAAGGAAAAAATTTTGAAGCACTTGTCCAAAGCTTCTCCCTTATGCATTTCAATGAAGTAGCAATTTGAAGGCTTTTGCCTCTTCCTCCTCTGTTAAGTCTCAAACAATTTTTTGCTACTTCTGTTAAATTTAGGACTTATAGTTCATTGCATTTTATTGTTTGAACTAAAACAGGACAAATGCATATAGTAAACATAGACGCTAAAAAAAAAGTAAGCTATTTTACCGTTAGGTCTCTGAAGGGATGTAGCAACAAACCCAAAGGAAGCTTAGCTTTGTTTAACAAAGCCTGTGTCTGTGGAATATTCGTCAATGTGCATCGAAATGAGCTGAAAGGAAATAAAAACATTATGTTGAAAATGAAATTTTAAAAGATGTTAAAAAAGTTAACACCTGATTTTGAAGAAGTTTGTAATTTAAGAAATCCTATGTTCTGCAAAGCCAATTTAACAAAGTTAATGCAAAGAGATTTAAAAAGCTTCCTAAAGAAACAAACAAAAGATACTCCCCAGATCCCCAATTTAGTAGTTCAGCAATGCAAGTATACCAAAACAAACTTGCAATGAAGAGATAAAACTGCTTTAGGTACAATACTCACTGTAAAATTATGTATTTTTTATTAATTATAAAGATCTTTTGGGTGAAGGAACTGAAGAAGGAATACAGTATTAACTAGTTCTCAGAAAGTAATATTTAGATAAGAAAACAGCAGAAAATTATCTCAACTACTGAGAGAGTCGAAGTCTTTTCTTTTGTGTGTATAAAGTGTAGGATAGACTTAAAACTAAACAAAGGGCACTAAAAAAGCCCTATGAATGAATAGTGCTGTTCAAAGTGCACCACACCTAAGAACGATTTCGAGATCCCCAGTTTTCTGATTTCTGTTTTCTGGTGGGACCATGCATTGTCACTGCGGCAGTAAGCCGAGTTAATTTAGGGTTTGTGAATAAAATTTGTCTGGAATTAGAATTACGATTTTTGGGGGACAGGTACTACTACTTAATTAGAGGTGAAAGGATACTTCATGATTGCAGGATTACCACAGTAAAACATACTCACAGTTTATTCACTGTATTTAGGCATGATCATCGTAATTTTCTGGAAAAAATCCTATGTAATATTACAAAAATATTCTATGAAATGTACTGCATAACATTAGGGGGTTTATTAAAGATTTTCTTTAGTTTGATAAAACAAGACAAATATTAAGCAGGTTTATTGATGTTTTAATAAGCGAGCTACCATATAATGTACTTTGATGGTAGGGCAGTTGCAATATTAGTGTATAAGGATGCAGAGGATAAACTTCAGGTGAAAGAGGTTATATTAGCTCATCACAGATTTAAAGTCAGGAGTCAGTTTAGACATTTTTTGACATGTTAAATAATTATTAGTCACTGAAAAATATCAGATGCTGTTCTAGCCACAGTACACTTACTCTGGACTGCAGTTTAACTTCCTAAGATCAGAATTCAAGTTAGGCACAGGTGCTGGAACTGAAGATACAGGCAAAATATTTCTATCTTGTGTAAGGTTTACTGGTCTCAAGCTTTCTGGCTGCTGAGAATGCTGTAGACTTAACCCTCCTAAGGAAGAGGACAGCTGGTTCACACCTGGATATTGCTGAAAAAATTAAGAGCATTGCAAATGGGTAAACACACAATTGTATTTAAATAATAACCTTAAATCTTCTTGTAATCCCAATTCTTCCAGACATATATTAAAAAGATACAGCAGTAGTTAGGAACAAAGTCAAACAAACAAGAAAAAAGTTGTATGGTAGAATCTTAAAAACTCTAAGACAAATGTGACATACCTCCCGAATATGTATCACTGGACAAAATTCAAATTCATGATACAAATCAACCTTGGAAGTCACACATAATCCTTCAAGCTTTCCAGGCATAAGAAAACAAGTTACTAGAAAGGCTGACAAATTTTTAACCTTTTCAAGGAAGTTACAATGTAACTTTTCCAAGTTACAGAAACTGTTTTTTTTATACATGTATTTTTAAATTAAAACAAAACAAGACCATAGAGGAGGAGAAAAGGTTAGGTTAGAAAGCACCTCTGAGGTCCAGTAATCCAATTGCCTGCTCAAGCAAGGCTACCTTCAAAGTTAGATCAGCTTGCTCATAGCCTTGTCCAGATGAGTTCTGAAAATACCTAAGGACTGAAGATTTCACAGCACAATCTGTTCTAGTGCTTCCCCATGCCCATTATGAAGAATTTTCTCCTTATATGTCCAACGGAACATCACTCGCTGCAACTTGGAATTGCTGGGTTTTGTCCTTTTACTGTGTACTCCTGAAAAGGATCTAACTCCATCCTGCATTACAGTGAAGATGATGCTAAGTCTTCCAACTTAAAAGCAAATAAATAAACAATAAAACATTTCCTCCAGGTCACATTTTACATTACCATTGCAACAATGAAAGCATTGCTGGGTATTATACGCTAACTTATGGTACTACACTCAGATCGGTAAGGAATTTTGATTACTTAAAACAGCAGCTTCGATACATTTGCCAGCCAGGCAAATTTATTTCAGAGTGGGATTTGTAAATCAGTAGGTTCCATTTTCTACACCCTTCACACATACACAAATGCTGAAGCAGTGCAAAGAAGTATTTGCCTCAGCATCTGCCTCTTCTTCAGATTTTATGGTTCTTGGGTCACTCACATGCACAATGGTAGCCAGGTGATCGTACACAACTTCTTGGCTGGCTGGTGCTCTCTTTTCCAGGAAAATAGAGCAGATACAGGAAGCCTGCCTCCACCTCACATACAGCACAGGCTCTAAATAGCTCCTTCATCTGGACCCTGTGCCACGCCTTGCTCGTAAGGTCATTTAACTCTTGAGACCATAGCCCATAGTAGTGCTCTGATCAAATGTATATTTGCTGATGAAGTACTTCATTATGCTTCTTTATGGTTTCTTATCAAAGCACAGCTCTTTGAAACACCAAACCTTAAAACTGTGGATGCTGCTAGTAACTGGTGAAGCAAACTTGTTAAGCCTAATGAGGTCAAAGAAAGTGTACCCCCATAATGAGCAAGACTTGCAAACTGGTCACAACAGACTAGGAGAAGGCTGAGGTACTCAATGACTTTTTTGCCTCAGTCTTCAGTGGCAACCTCTCTTCCCACACCTCTTGAGGGGACAGACTGCAAGATGGGGACTGAGGGAGCAAAGTCCCTCCCACTGTAAGAGAAGATCAGGTTTGAGATCACCTGAGGAAGCTGAACATGCGCAAGTCTATGGGACCTGACGAGATGCATCCCAGAGTCCTGAGGGAACTGGCTGATGTAGTTGGCAAGCAATTCTCCATGATACTTGAAAAGTCATGGCAGTGAGGTGAAGTCCCTGGAGACTAGAAAAAGGGAAACATTGCACCCATTTCTAACAAGGGTAGCAAGGAGGATCCTGGGAGCTACTGACCTGTCAGCCCCACCTCTGTGCCTGGGAAGATCATGGAACAGATCCTCCGAGAAGCTATGCTAAGGCACATGGAGGGCAGGGATGGGATTCGAGACAGCCAGCATGGCTTCACCAAAGGCAAGTCCTCCCTAACCAACCTAGTGGCCTTCTGTGAGGCAGTGGCCGCATCAGTGGACAAGGCAAGAGATACGGATGTCATCTACCTGGTCTTCTGTAAGGCCTTTGTTGTGGTCCCCCACAACATCTTTCTCTCTAAATTGGAGACATATGGATTTGAAGGGTAGACTGTTGGGTGGATGAGGAATTGGTTGGATGGTTGCATCCAGAAGGTAGTGGTCAATGGCTCAATGTCCAGATGGTGGTGAGCGACAAGTGGTGTCCCTCAGGGGTCTGTATTGGAACCAGTACTGTTCAGTATCCTCATCAATGACACAGACAGTGGGATCGAGTGCACCCTCAGCAAGCTTGCAGATGACACCAAGCTGGGTGGCACATTTAAACATGCATGAGGGACAGGATGCCACCCACAGGGACCTGGACAAGCTCAAGGAATGGTTCAACAAGGCCCAACAATGCCAAGTGCAGCATCCTGCACCTGGGTCAGGGCAAGCCCCGCCATCAATACAGGCTGAGGAGTGAAGGGATTGAGAGCAGCCCTGACAAGAAGAACTTGGGGGTACTGGTGGATGAAAAGCTGGACAGGAGCTAGCAATGTCCACTTGCAGCCCAGAAGGCCAACCATATCCTGGGCTGCATCAAAAGAAGCATGACCAGTGGGTTGAGGGAGGTGATTCTGTCCCTCTACTCTGCTCTGGTGAGACCCCACCTGGAGTCCTGTGTCCAGCTCTGGAGTCCTCAGCACAGGAAAGACATGGACCTGTTGGAGCAGGTCCAGAGGAGGGCCACAAAAATTATCAGAGGGATGGAACACCTCTCCTGTGAGGACAGGCTGAGAGAGTTGGGATTGTTCAGCCTGGAGAAGAGAAGCGTCTGGGAAGACCTTACTGCAGCCTTCCAGTGCTTGAAAGGGGCTTCTAAGAAAGATGGGGAC